TCTCCTCCTCCTCCTCCTCCTCCTCCTCCTCCTCCTCCTCATCCTGGCTGACTGGCCGCTTGGCTGCCGCGTGCGAACAAGAGGAAGCCAGAAATTGGCGGGGGCCGAGGCCGCCGCCACAATTCTGCTCCGCAGGAGGACCTGTGGGCTCGCCGCGCGTCTTCGTGTTCGGTCGTCGTCGTGGGTCGTCGGTCGTGGGTCGTGGGTCGTCGTCTTCCAGAGGCCGTGCGTCGTGCACCGTGCGCCGTGCACCGCGCGCCATTCGCGGCCGGCGTCGTCGTCGTCTTCGTCGTCGTCGTCGTCGTCGTCTTCGTCGGCGGCGGGGGCGGCATGCGGCGGCGGTGCGGTCGTGGTCGTCGTAATCGTCGTCGTCGTCGTCGTCGTCGTCGTCGTCGTCGTCGTCGTCGTCGTCGTCATCGCCGTCGTTCATCGCCGTCGTCGTCGTCGTCGTCGTCGTCGTCGTCGTCGTCGTCGTCGTCGTCGTCGTCGTCGTCGTCGTCGTCTTCGTCGGCGGCGGGGGCGGCATGCGGCGGCGGTGCGGTCGTGGTTGCGGTCGTGGTCGTCTTTGTGGTCGTGGTCGTGGTCGAGGACGTGGTCGAGGTCAAGGTCGTTGTCGTGGTCGATGTCCTGGGCGTAGTCGTGGTCGACCGTGGTCGACCGTCGTCGTCGTGCGTGGTCGTCCATCGTCCGAGGTCCGTCGGCGTCGTCGCCTGTCGTCCGAGGGCCGTCGTCCTCCGTCGTCCTACGTCCGTCATCCATCGTCCCTCGTCGTCATCGTGGTTGTGGTCGCCCGTCGTCGTCCGTCGTCGCCCGTCGTGGCCCGTCGTCGCCACCGTCGTCGTTGTCCGTCATCGGCCGTCGTCCTCATTGTCCTCCTCCTCATCCTCCTCCTCCTGCTCCTCCTGCTCCTCCGGCTCCTCCTCAGAGGCCCCCACGGGATGCAAACCGCTAAGAGTTCCCGATCATCGTCAGCACTGAGCTTGCTCGTTTTCCGCCTCCTCGCTCGAGAAAAGGAGGAGGAGGAGGAGGAGGAAGAGCACAAGCAGTTCAGGGTGGATAAAGAGGAACAAGGGAGGTTGATACAAAATGAAGAAGATGAGAACATCCGCCGGCCCCCCTGAGAAAAATGTCTTCACCAGCCAGGTGGGACCCTCCACTGGCCAAATGGGACCCTTCACCGGCTGGACTCTCGCCTCGCTGGTGCGAACACCTTCGTTCACAAAAGGATTCGCAGGAGCCTCCAGAGAAACCAATGGAATCCTGGATCCCTGGGGAAAGCGATGAGATCCTGAATTCCTCGGGAAAGCTTTAAGATCCTGAATTCCCGGGGAAACCTATGAGATCCTGAATTCCTGGGGAAACCTATGAGATTATGCATTCCTTGGGAAACCTATGAGATCCTGAACTCCTGGGGAAACCTATGAGATCCTGAATTCTTGGGGAAACCTATGAGATCCCGAATTCCTTGGGAAACCTATGAGATCCTGAATTTCCTGGGGAAACCTATGAGATCTGGAATTCCTGCGGGAACATATGAGATCTTGAATCCCTGGGCAAACCTATGAGATCCTCAATTCCTGGGAAAACCTGTGAGTTCCTGAATTCCTGAGGAAGCCTATGAGATCTTGGAACCCTGGGGAAACCTATGAGATCCTGAATACCTTGGGAAACCCATGAGATCTTGGATCCCTGGGCAAACCTATGAGATCCTCAATTCCTGGGAAAACCTGTGAGTTCCTGAATTCCTGAGGAAGCCTATGAGATCTTGGAACCCTGGGGAAACCTATGAGATCCTGAATACCTTGGGAAACCCATGAGATCTTGGATCCCTGGGCAAACCTATGAGATCCTCAATTCCTGGGAAAACCTGTGAGTTCCTGAATTCCTGAGGAAGCCTATGAGATCTTGGAACCCTGGGGAAACCTATGAGATCCTGGATCCCTGGGGAAACCTATAAGATCCTGGATCCCTGGGGAAACCTATGAGATCCTGAATTCCTATGGAAATCTATGAGATCTTGGATCCCAGGGGAAACCTATGAGATCCTGGATCCTGGGGAAACCTATGAGATTCTGGATGACTTGGGAAACCTATGAGATCCTCAAGTCGTGGGGAAACCTATGAGATCCTTAATTCCTAGGCAAAACTGTGAGGTCCTGAATCCCTGGGGAAACCTAATTATGAGATCGTGGATCCCTGGGGGAAACCTGTGAGATCCTGAATTCCTTGGGCAACTATGAGATCCTGAATTCCTGGGGAAACCTGTGAGATCCTGAATTCCCAGGGAAAACTATGAGATCTTGGATCCCCGGGGAAACCTATGAGATCTTGAATTCCTAGGAAAACCTATGAGATCCTGAATTCCTGGGGAAACCTATGAGATCCTGAATTCCTGCGGAAACCTATGAGATCCTGAATTCCTGGGGAAACCTGTGTGATCCTGGATCCTGGGGAAACCTGTGAGAGATCCAGAATCCCTGGGGAAACCTATGAGATCCTGGATCCCTGGGGAAACCTATGAGATGTTGGATCCCTGGGGAAACCTATGAGATCCTGGATCCCAAGGGAAATGTAGGAGATCCTGAATTCCTGTGGAAACCTTTGGGATCCTGAAATCCTGGGAAAACGTATGCGATCGTGAATTCCTTGGAAGACCTGTGAGATCCTGGATCCCTGGGGAAACCTATGCAATCCTGAACTCCTGGATCCCAGGGGAAACCTATGAGATCCCGAATTCCGGGGGAAGGCGCGGGCGAGGGGCGAGGGCGAGGCTTCGCATGAGAACGCTCTTGTAGCACAGCGGGGCTCAGAGAGCGCCCCGCTGTATCGGACAGCGCGCAGCATCGCTTGGGCAACGGTCGATCCACGCATATGTGACACGCTAAAGAAATGTGGCAGACAAAAGAGTGCGGGGCATGTCGCTGATGTGACTTGGGTTCGGACGGAAACAGGCCCGGGCCTCGGAACCTGCGATGCAACGAACCTGCGACGCAACGATGCTTATTTGCCACGCGCACTATGCCCTGAGTGTTAAAACGTCGCATGAGGTGTGACAGGCAATAACGTCGCGTTGAACATCTTCTGTTGAGTGGGGCGATGGATCCACGGCCTTGCTGGCGCGTTGCCGCGCTACTGCTTCAAAACCAGGGCGTCGTGGTGGTTGCCGGCCCAGACGACGCGCGCGCGTGGGTAGCCGAGGGTGGCATCTGGTTCGTGGGCTCGCCGTCTACGGAAACAACCTCGTTGATCCGCTGGAAACCGCCGTGCGCCTTCTCGAGGACGCGCGCGTGGCATCCAGCGACGCTCGATCTGACCCTTGCCTCCAGCACGCCTGCGAACGCATTGCTGACAAGGCCGCGCACGCGGGAGTCGAGCATGTAGGCCCTGTGCTCAGCAGGCGTCCACCCGAGTGCGCGCAGCAACCAGTCCTTGTGGCTGGGGCCTTTGTACACGTGATCCAGATTGCCCAAGATGCGCGTCACCACGCGCCGTCGCAAACCAGCTCCATCGCCCGACGTTGCGTGGATATTCACCTTTGCCATCGTCAAGCAAAACGCATGCAAGAGGCAATTCCCGTCACCAGCCACCTGATGCGCTGCCGCTCCCGTGGCAGGGACGAAAACGACGGCGGCCGACCTGCGCGCTGCGCGGAGCGCCCTGGCACTCGCTTTTGCGCACGAGCCCCAAAAACCTGGAGGCATCAAGGAGCATTTGTCCAAATTGTGCGCGCCAGCACCGATGAACCACTCTTCCGGCTGGCGTTGCTTTCCCGCAACTCTCGTCGTTGGCGGCGCCAATAACAACCGCGTGGATTCCGGCGTGCTTCCAAGAATTCGTCGAGGCTTCCAAAGAAAGCCTCTGCTGTGTTGCTCTTTGAATAGCAATCTCCAGCCTTGGCCCTGCGACCCCAGGAACCCACCACCAACGGGGTGTCATCGTCCTCCGGCGGGGCCGGCGCGAGGCCAGCCGTCAAGCCCGCTGCAAGAGAATGCTTGCAACGCCTTTCTGGGAAGAAGGAGAGGCATGTGCATCTCGCCTGCCCGCGGGAGTGGTAGAATCTATGCGCGTTGGCCTACTCCTTCATTTGCTGGTACTTCACCACCTGGCCTTGCCCAAGGCACGGAACGTTGCGTAGGCAGCATCCGCTGCTCCCTGATCGGTGGCGACGTTCGCACAGGAACGTTTTCCCACTTCGGCCCTGCACATCTAGGAATGAGAAGAGGGGGAGGAGGAGGAGGAGGAGGAGGAGGAGGAGGAGGAGGAGGAGGAGGAGGAGGAGGAGGAGGAAGAAGAAGAGGAGCAGGGCGAGGAAGAGGAGGAGGAGGACGGGGGGAGGATCGCAACGAAAACTGGGAGCGAGGATGCGGAGAAGGGCACAGAAGAGCAAGAATCGCAGCAGGGGGGGCAGCGGGGGGAGGACCAGGGCGAGGATGAGAGGAGGATGGGGGATGAGGAAGGTGAGGACAATGAAATTGACAGGTAAGGGTCGAAGGGGAAACGGCCATCAGCGCGGACGTTCCCCGCCAGAGTTCCTGGGCGATGGCTGCCCGCTCGGCCTGGTCGCGCCCTTGTCCGTCAACTCCGTTGCGCGCGCAGAGCAGCAGTGCACTGCCTTGGCCACCCTGCGAATCTTCTCGGTACCAAATAGCGCTCTGATCCCGCGGGCGTTCGCCCGCAGCTGCTTCGGCACCGGCCGCGTCTCCTCTGGGCACCAGTCGCGCTTCCAGTAGAACCCCACCTGGTCTAGAAGGAAGCCAACGCACTCGGTCGCGGAGCCAGAAACGTTGCCCGCATCCTTCCTTGACAAGCGAATCTCGCTTTCGACCTGATTGTTCGCGGTCGGCAAGGGATTGGGGACGCGGCCCATCATGCCGCAGTGCCACTCTGGGCGCAACGATTTTCATTGCGGCTGGAAATGCGTCTCGAGATTGTGCCTTTCTCCGCGTTTGTCCGTGAACTCCGTGGCGGTTGCGTAAACTGAGTGCACCCAGTGCTTTCGCACCGCAGCGCACTTAGCCTCGAACTCCAGCGCGGTCGCGGAGTGGTGCAGCATGTCCAAGTCGTTGCTGATTGCATCCGCGAGCAGACCCTTCTCCTTGCACAGCGCGTGCATCTTCACAAAGTCAAGCACGTGGGGGACA